CACACACACACACATACACACACACACACACACACACACACACAGGCTCACAAGAGTGTGTTAGATGGGCACAGCTGTGTTCCAATAAAACCCAGCAGCAGATGGAGCTCAGTGACAGCAAAGAGGTCACATTGGACTTTAACTTTGACATTTATAGAGCATTCACTAGCACAAGTGATGACAGGAGAGAGCAGCCCCTCTGAAACACTATTAATTATCAGCTTATATTAAATGTTGTCAGACAACAGCAATCTGCTGGCCACAAAAACAATTTATAAACCCTTAAACCCTGCTACCAATTGAAATATAACCTTACTGCATTGTTACAAAGAGAAATCACTGTAAGTAATGAGTGATTCTCCACTGCAGGACAGGACAGGAAAGAAAATTTAATTGTTAAATTCGATCTGTTGTTTTTGAGTGTTGCAGAAGAGGCCCTTAACGTCCTTCACAGAATGAAACCACTGCCAAGTTAAAGCAGGGCAGCATGTGCAGTCTAGCAGACAGCCATCCCAGATGGACGTCAGGTACCATTTTTTCACCCCAGGTGAAACTGCAGTCCCATCTGTTGACAATTTGCACTTTTGGCTCCCTCCACACATTCAAATAAAGCTTGTGTGGGCCTCCTCAAGGCCTTAAAAGAGCCTGACTGCCAGAGGAGGCCCATTAGTGGGCTGTGGGTGGCACTTAGGCCTGAGGACAAGTTGATGAGGCCTGTCCTACACTACAGAAACACATGGGCTGGATGCCTCTAGCTGGCTCCAAGCTGGTATTATACTAAGTGGGATGTATAGATGAAAGATATGACTTTCCATCCCTGCTTTCCTGACACAGCTTTGCAGTTTGCTAAAGGTGTATTATAGGATATGGTGTGCACAGTGCTGAAGTATACAAAATGGCGCATGAAAAAACACCTTTTTTAATAAAAAAAGGACAAAACACTGTAAAATATGGCTCTATTGAAATTCATGGTGCAATGTCTTTGTCTTCAAGGGTGGAAACGTTCTCCAGGGTACCTACAGCCTTGTGTTTCTGTGTGGTTTGGATGTGCTGTGACTTTCAAGGTCTAATTGCTTTTCGAACTCTGTAAGATGAGGGGGAAGACAGCATCTATTGTGTTTCTTTGACACAGGGCCAGTCTGCCTTTCTTTACTACAATATACTTATGCAGAGGTGATACAGAAGGACTACCAAATGCAAACTTGTTGACATCAGAAAACATACATACACAGTGATTCATTCCAATAAACATGATGGCAGTGAGCCTATCTTTCGTCAAGAGTTGTATGTTATACTTACTAACAATATTTTATATCCATATTTTTTCAACCTGAGGGTCCAGTCATAGTAATCATGACTGGATATAAAAATATGAAGGACTTTAGGGGGTTGTTACATTACTAAGCTTGATGAATTTGCATGCATCCATAACTTATTATAGAGATTCATGATGTATAAATGCATAAAGCTCAAGGGAACAATAACTGCCAACAGACAACAAACTACTTCACACTACAAAAAAAAAAAAGGTTCAGACTGTTAACACTAACCACTACAATAACTACAGACAACTCCCTTTTACACTAAATAACAAAATAAAATAAAACTACAGACAGCACACTATTTCACACTAAATAACCAAATAAATTGAATGAAACTAAATAGACAACACACTATTTTACACTACATTACCAATAATACAAAATAATAATACTAATGATAATGATATAAAAACAGGCTATTATACAGCCACAAAGAATTATGAGAATTCCCCCCCATGTCCTGCTCAGTATGATTTACTATAGTAAATCATCTATGTAAATATTAACATATGATGACAGGTACCATACAATTTTCCTAGTTTGAATATTCAGAACTAATTATCTATTGAGAAATTGACTGATCAAATTCTATGCAGGCAAGGTCACTCTCTCCAGTCAATACTTTATGGCTTGAATGCTGCATTTCCACAGAAACCTTGATATTCCAAATTACTACTGACAAGAGAAGGATGTGTACTAACAAGCACATCTGCATCCTTTAAACAACACTCAAACATGTCTCCGTCCTTCAAGTGCATAAAACTAGGGGTAACTCACATTCACAGTGCTTAAGTTTTTTAATCTTATTCATCTCTCTAAGCAACAGCCATGACAAATGGCTCATCTGTGACAATGGGGTCACCGCGAGCCATCCAAATGCCTATCAAATTGCATTCCATATCAAGATGACTTAATGCTCAATCTCCTGACGGGAAGGTCAAGTAGAACTGAGAAGGCCAATACGAGACAGGCAGCAGCTAATCAACCTGATAATAATGTCTGGCTAATGCTAAGTCACTCAGCAGCACACAATCATATCAAAGTTGAAATATTAAAATTGTTACTGTTTCTTTTCAATGAGCATTTACATCTGTGGTTGTGGAATTTTGTCCTTTTTGACTTTCTGATGTGCCACACACCTTTTTACAACATGCAAAATCAATTAAGATGTCCATGATAACCTTGAAGCAACTCCTAAAAAGGCATCTCATATTTGAAAAACATCTATAATATATTATGTTTACCTTTAAACCATTCTGTTTGTTTAAGTCACCTTAAGCCAGAACGCTACCATCTGATTGAGACAGGCATTACCAAAAAGCTAATATCTTATTCTCTTTGAGAAGGGTACTTGAGTCCTGTCACAACAGCCTGATCCTCAGCCCTGAACTGGACATGAGCTCCATAATGGCATAAATATAGTCACATAAACCCCGTGATGAGGGACTTCTTTATGAAAGCTAATAAATAATTCTGCTCAAGGTAAAACCATAAACCAAATCACTAGGCCATCACAAAGACTTGTATATTTGCAATGCAACCATGATGTGCTTTGTGGCCCAAAAGGGCCTCAGCAGAAACAGCCCAGAGAGTGGCCTTGGAATCCAATTGGACCCAAGGACCACCAGAGACATTCTCTGTTAACTTTTTGCAGGAGTTACAGTTTGTACTATTAACTTTACTCAGATTTTGATATATAGCCACTTGAACACTTTACGAAATTTGTTGAAGTAGAAATCAATCAATCAATCAAACCATTTAAAAGTTTGAGGTTAGTAATTGTTTTAAATAAATGAATACCTTTATTCACCAAGGATTCATTAAATTGATCAAAAGATTTCTATAGTACTACAATTAAATGTTGTTTTAAAGACCTTCTAATTGTCAAATAAGCCTTAAAAATAATGATGTCCACAAACATTAAGCAGCACAACTGTTTTCAACACTGATTATAAAACAAAATGTTTCCTGAACATCAAATCAGCATATTAAAATGATTTCTGAAGGACACTGAAGACTGTAGTAATAATGCTGAAAATTCAGTATTTCCATCACAGGAATAAATTACATTTTAAAATACATTAAAATAGAAAATAGCTATTTTAAACAGTAATAATATTTCACAATATTACGGTATTTTTGAACAAATAAATTCATATGAAGCCTAATCAATTTATCACAAGTCAACGTGATACTATTCCATGTGCTTGTGGACTTCTTACAAAAACATTTACAAAAAAAATCTTATATACTATATACTATAGTCTTATATACTACTAGTTTATATACTAATTTTATTTATTTATTTAATTTACTTACTTACTTTTTTTCAGGCAGTTCCTGCCAAATGCTTGCATTTCAACAAATTAAACATGACTAGTTGGTCTATTAAATATTAATTACATTGATGTAACATAATTATTATTTATAAACCCAGCTCATTTGTGTCCCTCCCACTTTCAGATCATTGCTAAACTCCTGATCATAAAGAGGTCAAAATACTACCTAAGAAAGATGCTTTCCAACCAGCACATTCACAGTAAATACTTTTTTGCTTCAAAAGTAGAATATTCAGTTTGCATATATAACGTATAGTCATGCTATAGCTACTCTTACCAATGAGCGAAGATGGTCTGAGGTGCTTGTCACACGCCACACTCCCTCCAGGTAGTGTTGTGCATGTAGAGGAAGTGGAGTCACAGTGGCCAAACAGGTTCGTTTGCCACCCACTCTCGCTGCTCCATTTTGATTCCAACCCATTTCCTGCATTTTCTCTCTAGACTGCAGGCCACATGGTTGCCCGGTGAGTTTTTGACTGCTAGAAACTGGAGAACACTGTGTGGGCCATTCCCAGGAAGCAGGGGGTGAGATGGAACTGTGAGATGCCACACGTGGTGGCAGCAGGCCAGAAAGGGTCCCGGGCTGCAGGTCAGGCATGTCGTCGAACACCAGCCCCAGGGCAGAATGGAGTGCCAGGCGCCTCAGGTGGTGAAGGGGGGTTCCACATACTTCACAGCTGCTCTGGGCACCACAGCCCCTCAGAGGCCATTCCAGAGTCTGGAGCTTGTCAAGAAGGAAGGCTGCAAAGCTCGGGTCCTGCAAGAAAAGTCAGCAACATGACAACTTATTACAGCACAGCTGCTGAAAACATCCTGGTTTTGTTCATGCTGCATTCTGGTTAAATTAGCAGACTGATTATATTTTCAGAGCTTGTGCATAAATATTCTCCATTCACAAAGCAAAAGCTTGGCTTAATTTATAGTTAATTAGCTTGTCAATCATATGCAACACAGTATGATGCAAGTAATAAACAGAGGTGGCAACACAGCCCACACGTTGGCATATATTATAATTACCAGTATTTAACATCCTCTGAACTACGTAAATTAAATTTTTCATGAAAAAAAGCATATTTCTTTGACACATGTACAATACTGATGCCATATCTATATAACTAGGTATAGCACAACAACAGCAACAATAAATATACAAATATGAACTAAAACTGAAATAAAAAGTTATTATAAATATTTCATGAATATAAATACACAAATAAATATAAAAGTTAATAAAAAAATTACAAAAGCTCACAACAAAATAACTCAAATTTAAACTAAATATAAAACTAAAACTAAAAATATACAAATAAAAGCTAATTCAAAACATTAATAAATACTATACTAGTACAGTATATAAACAATACCACTGCAGTGGTCCCAAATTATACTGGACACTAAAGCTAATATATGAATGCTGAAAGTCAGTGCATTCGATAACTAACTACATATAAATGTAACTAAATATGAACTAATATTCATAGTTAATGTGATGAAATTCAACTGTGGGTACTCTTCTAGGTGAAACTGAATGTCCTCTAAAAATTACTTTGAAAACCAGTTGGTTGTCCAAATACTTTGTGGGGCTACTATAAAAATATTTAGATGAAGATATATAAATTATGGTAAACTTTTGGTGAACTTGGACATATAAATGTCACTCCTAACAGTTGCTCCTTTTAAAAACCAAAAAATCAAAGCTTTCTCTCCCTGCATTGCAACATTGTGTGTAGGTTGATTTAAGGATTGTAATAAACTTATACTGCCAGCACCCCAAGTGTATATTTTGCAGGAGTGAAATGGAGGTCAGGGGCCAAAGCCCCGACCTCAGCACAACACTATACCATGATTGAGTGCTTTTGTCTGGGACTGGAGGACTTCTACAGCAGGTTCACTCACTAAGGAGGGAAACTGTACAGCATTGGCATGTCAGATGCCTGCAATCTGCTTCAGCTTCAGTTTGCATGCAGGCAGCCCCTCCAACCTGTTAAAGCTGCCTGTGTGCATAAGACTTTAAAGTTTATTAATTTAAGCAGACTTGGCTAACATGTTTACAAGGAAGTGCTCCAGGGAATATAGTCCAGAAAACCGATAATATTATAATCAATATTGAGAAAAACGAAAATGATACTGCTAATGCTATTGATGATGAATATGAATTAGTTGGGATTAAATAGAAAATGGTTAAATAGCTTAAACACTTGTTCTACAATAAAATTAAATAAAATAAAAAAATAAAACAAAACTACTCTTCCACCAAGCAATATACCATAGTTCATTACACAAAAAATCACTAACACACATCCTTGTAAAATACAATTAAACATAATCTTCCATCAAATATGGTTTATATATATTAACTTCTCGCATTCATACACAACATCACTGTAACACACAGCCTCAATCTAAAATGAACATTAAAAAAAATATATACTGTATATATATATTTATCATAAATTCCCGTATTCATGCACGTGTGATGTTTATCTGCATTTGCTGCTTTGAAAGCTGCTCATCCAATCAGAATTCAGAGTCAGTACATATATTTTAATAATCTGAATGACCTTTAGATATTTGTACTTTCTGTTAAAGGTTTTAAAGTGCTCTGCATCTTCACTAGTCATTAAAGGCTTCTGGAGCAGTTCAGTCAACATGTGTCCTCAGCAGCCTTTATGCATGTACATAAACACTGTGAATTGTAAAAATGCTAAATGACAGCTGCAGAATGTGAAATAACCAGATGACATGAACGCAAGCACAAACGTGGCGTGTGTTAGTCCATCCACCCACTCAACAGACACAAGCTGCACTTGTTAAGTGCTAGTCACACCACAGCGCTATTGGAGAGGAAACTTTGTATAGAGATTTAAAGCCAGGCTGCAGTCTGCATCCTTTATTATGTCTGTGGCTTCTGGTGGCTTCCTAGACAAACACATAGAGGTTATTCACAAGTCAGTGCCTATGAGCCCATGCTCCCTCTGAGTCCCACCCCACATGTGCTCGCAGAGGCCACTGCATTCTGATAGGCAGGACAAAGGGGTGAGGATGAGCAGGCACACTTTTGGATGACGACAAGTTTACAGATTTGTACCCCTCCACCAACAGTGACCCTATAAGGCACAATGGGGAGAGTGAAATGAATGAAAATTGTAGGACCTATAACTACACCTGCGATAAATCAGAAATACTAGCTGGTATGCATTAGCGGTGATGGATTACCTATCTCTGTTCACAAAAATGAATAAATAAAGGAGTAGCTTAAACAAAGAGGAGCGTGACATACTGACATACAGTTAAATAAAAGATGGGATCACGGAGGCTGTCGACTACGATGCAGTGCAAAATATAAGGCTAAGAGAGAATTGAGGCCTTCCTTCGAACACTTCATCCATGCTCCACAAAGGGGAAAATTGCTGGTGAATTGCAATTTTCTGTTCTGTTAGGTACCAGACAGATGATGGAGGTACTGAAGGAAAAAGAGGAGAGGAACAGGAAATGAAAGGAAGACAGGCATGGAATAAGTAAGGACTGTCACAAAGGTTGGGTGAAATCCAGTGTTCATGACAAAGCACAGTAAAATGGCACACCGTATTACTGGCTTGGACTTGAGGCGTGTTTCAAAAAGTGTACCTTTTAACTTGATGCTAAAATAAAACAAAATAAAATAAATACATTCATACACATTGTGCAAATACATGTGTATCTGCATTTTACAGCAGCTTTGAAAGGGGCTTAACCAATCAGAATACAGTATCCCATACATCAATCAAATAGTTCTAAAGCGTGTTTAAATTATATTTGAAAAAAAAAAGAAATGGACATTTATAATACATAAATGTAATCCATTCAAAAGCTCTGTTAGACCTCTTTTTTGACCAACGGTCAAGCTGCACACACACAATTGTGGGATATCATACAGTAAGCAGTGAATGAGACATCTATGCTCCCTTTAAAAACAACCAAATAAAGGCATTTAAGCAGACAGGAGGACACACAAACATAGTATTGGACATGTCTTGTGGTCTTGCAACCTTCCAGCATTCTTAGACTTTCAGACACAGTCACAGTCACAGTCTCAACAAAAAGACCAGATTTCTCACTTACCGTATCTATTCTTCAAACAGCTAGAAATAAAATTTGGATTTATATTATATTATGGGACAACAGAACCATGGGAAATTCAACATCCTAAGCAAAACAGATGTTTGTAAAATGTGTTTATCAGAGCAACTGAATTATTTTTTTCGTTTTTGTACATGCAAAAAATGAATGACCTGTTTTTCTCAGCAGTCCGATAAAACTTGACTGGTCCTGTCACTTGATCACTTCACTTTCTCGTAATCTCTCTAGCCAAGGCTTCTGGTGTGCAGTCTGACCACAACTGACTCAACTCAGAAACAATTCTACTTACTTGCAGAGCAGAGTTGTAAATCACTTCACATAAACAAGTGAGATTCATCCTCATAAGCATAGCAACAGATGGAGTGCTCTGTATGCTGTAACTTTAAACTATTGCTTCCAGCTAAAATATAAGTACTCCATCCATAATATTGCTTTCTCCAGTGAAAAAGTCATCTTGTCTAAATCAGGAGAGAAGTAAAGCTAATAAACTCAGAGATACATCTCTGGGTAGACATTCTCTTTTATTCCTGTAGTGGCAAAACTGAATTTTCAGAAGCCATTACACCAGTCTTCAGTGTCATATTGTCAGTGCATTATTGTACTTTTATTATTCAAGTGATATTAAACATGTTTAAACCTGATGAGACAATATCAAGTGGTAGAGACTAACTTGACAGCTATGATGATAACATTTTTATGATAAAATCTCTTTTTAGTTATAGAAAATAAGTATGATACCAAACAAGAGTTTAAAAAGTGCATCCCCTCTTCTTGGCCTCTACCTAATTTGCCATCTGCAAGTCAATGTCTCATCCACACAAGGGCTGCCCCCAATTCTGCATTCAAGAAAACCCTCATTTATTCACCTCTTTGCATATTCATGCTACCAGCAGTCTTCTCATCAAAACACCTGTGTACATCCCATCCCTATTAAACCTGTTCCATCCCTCAGTGGAAGTGTACTTCATTTAGAAAAAACCTCATTAAAAACAAATTATGCATGTGTCACAAAATACTTTCAAGTAAGATACTCTCATTAGTAAAGCAAATTAATCCTCTTCACATAAAACGTGAACTAACTTAACACAAGCTACACTAACATCAGTTGTCTGAACTGGTGTAATCACTGTATAAATGTGTGTCATAAGTAAAAAGAAGAAACAAACAAACATGCTCCCTAAAAATGACACACATAGAAGATCAAGAATGCAAACGTTTGTAAGAAGAATTTCTTAACAGATAAATCTAAAAACATAACTGAGCCATGTGAGATTATTCTCCTTTCCTGCTAAATTTGCCTTAACACTCTTACTGTGACTCATGAAAGCATCTCAGATAAGAAGGCTAATAACTTATTTAGTCTCATTTATGTCAGTCTTCAAAGAATCTCTCCTAGAATAAATCACCTTTGATCACCTGGATGCATGATATAGCCTAGGCCTAGTCATCCTGCATAATATATCCTTTATTTCACTGCAATGATTTCATACATATCTATATAGCATGTATACTCTAACACTTCATTTGCTTCTATTTTAGAACACTTGATGATTATCTAATCAAAATAACAAAATATGGCATTCACACACCGGACAAGAAGCAAAGCGCCACGTTATTGCGGCTAGCGCATTCAATTCA